GAGGAATGGTAGATAGCTTGGATTTATTTATTCACTGGTTTAAAAAGAAAAAAAAAAAAAAAAACCCAGGAAGAATTGATTCAGTGGAAAGGGAGTCCAGAGGGGAAGCAGAGAGTAAAACTCCTCATCCCTCACTCCTATCATCCTCACATCTGAGGCATGAGCCTAGTAAATAAGTTTCAGAAGTGTGTCTCTTCGTGTGAAGCCAATTTTCCTACAGATGAAAAAGTTGCCAAATACACAGTGGTAGAGAGTAGCTTTCCAGAACACTAGGGATGAAAAGAAGCAATGGTTTGCCTTCATCTCTGGGCTGGAGATGAAGGAAGGAGCCAGATATGAGGGGATGGATGACTAGAGAAGTATCTGTGAACACCAAGATGACGTTAGTGAAAAGGGGCTCACTGAAAGAAGGTGGGGGGTCTCTCCGGAGACTGGGTCTGTGGTTTGTACACTCGGGCCTGCGGTCAGGCTATGTTAGCCCTAAGCCAAGGGGTGATCCCAGAGACAGCCTTGTTTGGGTTCCTGGGCCCAATTTCCAATGTGTGTCTTGGAGCGGGGCTTCCTCATACATCTGGGCAATGCTCCGGACACCAGCTGGGCGTCGTCCTACAATTCAACTCATTTCTGACACGGTCTACCCGGAGACAGCCTCAGGTTCCACAGGGTAAGGGCTCAGTCCTACAAGACTGCTCCGCTCCTACTTCAGATGACTTGGGTCCAGGCTGTCACCTGTGCTTCTTACCAAATGGCTACAGATGAGAAGCTCCGATGACTTCCTCCTCCAGAGCAGCTCACAGAACTCAGAGAAATGTTTTACTCACTAGATCACTAGTTTATTGCAAAAGGATAGAACTCAGGGAACAGCCAGATGGAAGAGATGCACAGGGCGAGCGAGGTAGGGGGAGCGGACGAGGAGCTTCCCTGCCCTCTCCAGGCCCGCCACTCTGCCCACATCTCCACGTGCTCACCAACCCGGAAGCTCTCGGAACCCTGTCCTTTTGGGGTTTTATGGAGGCTGCATTACACAGGTATGACTGATTTAATCGTTGGCCATTGGTGATTGAATTCAATCTCCAGCCCCTCTCCCCTCCCCAGAAGTCAGGGCTGGGACTGAAATTTCCAACTGTCCATTCAAGGCTGGTTCCCCTGGTCACCAGCCCCCATCCATAGGTGGGGGTTCCCAAAGTCGCTTCATGAACCTAACAAAAGACTCTCAAAATCCCCAAGGGTTTTAGGAGCTCTGAACCAGAAACTGGGATGAAGACCTAATATATATTTCTTCTTAGAAATCACTGTATCACACAGGCAAAAAGGATAGACTCTCTTACGTTGGGGAGATCACCGTGCATGGTTACCTGCAGTCCAACTGAGTCCAGCCCTCGTGGAATTTCCTGTGTTTCCATGGAGGAACAGGGGCCCTGGAGTCAGACAGCCCTAAGTCCAGTTTCATCTCTTTCCCACTGTGTTATATTAGTAAGTCACTCAACCTCTCTGAGCCTCACACTGTCAAGTGGAACTGATAAGACCCTCCCAGAGGGCTCTGGAAGAATTAAATAAGATCAGGAGCATGAAGCATGGAGCAGGTGCCCTCCTTCCCATCCCCCCCTACCCCGAGACATACCCGGGTTACTTAGATGGGCCGGAAATGTTACCACAAGCATCCTTATAAGAAGAGGGGGGTCAGAGGGGCATTACAGAGGCAGAGACTGGAGTGATGTGGCCACAGCCGCCAGGAGCTGGCAGAGGCAAGAAGCAGAGTCTCTCCTAGAGCCTCCAGAGGCCGACCCCCGGATTTCAGCCCGGGAATACTGCTTGGGGACCTCTGGCCTCCAGAACTGTGAGCTACCAAGTTCGTGGTCATTTGTCACAGCAGCCACAGAAAACTAATACAGTGGCCAACTGAGTCTGTGACCCCCCCTGCCAAAAGAAGAAGAAAGGCCTGGCTTCCAAGCCCACACTCCGAAAAGAGAACCCTTGGTCCCTTGGGTAGGGGTTGCAGACACCAAGGTCCCTCTAGCTGGGGTTGCCCTGGGTGGTTCCTCTTGATGCGCACTCCTTTTTTTTTTTTTTTTAAGGATTTTATTTATTTATTTGAGAGAGAGAGAGAGCACAAGCAGGGGAGAGGGAGAAACAGGCCCCCCACCGAGCAAGGAGCCCTATGCAGGGCTCAATCCCAGGACCCTGGGATCATGACCCGAGCCGAAGGCAGCCGCTTAACTGACTGAGCCACCCAAGTGCCCCACGATGCGCACTCCTATCAGCTCCCAGCCTTGCCACCCCGCAGGAGGCGTCCAGACAGGGGAGTGAGTGAAAGTAGCATCGTTTCCTTCTCTGCTTCTGGCATCATCTGCCCCACACCCGGGCAGCCAGAGATTGTCTATATCTGAGGGCCTGGAGTCAGGTACCTAAAGACAGTACCTGGTCCCTGGCTACATCGAGGGTGCGCAGTGGGGGACAGAACTGCAGAAGTCAAGCATGTGGCATCACCCTGCAGATGGCAGCTCCCCCCCGGCGTGGGGCTAACAGCCCTAACCCGTCTCTCCGGGATGGCTCTGAGAGCTAAGGATTGGAAAGAACGCGGCCATGGAGGCACTCATGTTGAAGACTGATTATATTGCTCCATATTCAACATGGGTGCAGGAGTGTACTGACTTCGCAGACCGCAAGTTTTCCATCTGGAGCACAACCAGACCCTCTCACGTGGCACCTCCCTGCTCACAACCCGATTCCCTTTTAGTGGGCTCCTGTGGCTGCCGGGTGTAACCTCCACAATGCCATGCCCCCAGCCTTCCCAGAACCCTGGAGTGTTCAAGACTGTCCACTGGTGAAGGCCTGGGCCGTATGGACACCCCAAGGTGAACACCATTGACTGTTAGGCAAATGAGACTTAGATTCAGAAAAGGGAGGTACCAATCATTCCCAGACACATGCCAGCTAGGATAAAAGTCCATCTCAATCAGAGGGCCCCGTAGCAGCTCACCACCAAACCCATTTTCTTCTAACTGCACACACACAGCTGGACTACATTTCCCAGTCTCCCTTGCAGCTAGGTGTGGCTGTGTAACTGTTCTGGCCAATAGGAAGTAGGCAGAAGTGATGACTGGCCTGGCCCAGAAAAGCCAGCCATGCCATTCTCCTCTCCCTCTCTCTCTCAATTTCTTCCTCCCCTCCCAGGCAGCTGGATGTCAATCTTCAGGGCAGCCTTGGAAATAGATGACCAACTGTCCTGGTTTCCCAGAAACCGTCCTAGTTTTAGCACTGAGAGTCTGCAGCCTGGGAAACCCTCCACTCCCAGACAAACGGAGATGATCGGTCAGCCCACTTGAAAGGCACATATGGAAGATGGCAGAGGCTCCATCTGCCGGGATCCCTGAATGTGTGCATGGAGCAGAGCCCCCCATGCCCCGCCACCTCCCACCCCTGCCAATCAGCAATGCATGTTTTGGACTTCATGTGAGTGAAAAATAAGCTAAGCCTCAGATGATACACCATCTAATATTTTTGGAGAAACACAAAAATATCCTGTGTTCCCTGAGCTATTTTAAGCAGACAGATACCAGTTATAAATAGACAGACTATATATTATCTGGGATAGTCCTGGCGTACACCTGTTGTCTGGGCATAATTATTAATAGCACCCCCCCTCTACTCTCCAAAGTGTCCCCGTTTTCACAATATCTAATATGGTTATAGCTAATTTCTAGTGTGAACGCACGCCTGAACTGTTGTAGAAAAATCGTTAACTGAATCCTATTTTAAATGCAATTATTTAAGAAAGAAGCATTTGGTAATAAAAGTAGTCTGCCTCACAGCTAATACTCGAAATTCAACTCTCAGGATGTCAGATTTTCTTCATGGGACACACTGTATACATCACCTAGAACTGTCCTGAGATCTAGATTTCTTATAGATTTTATGTTTGGAGGGTGACTGTCCACCATCTCGTACTTCTGGTCTTTTCTGCCAATCCATCAATCACAAATGTTATCTATTGAATGGTTCATCCAGACAATGAAGTATTATTCAGTGCTAAAAAGAAATGAGCTATCAAGCCATGAAAAGACAAGGAGGAACCTTAAATGCATATTATTAAGTGAAAGGAGCCCATCTGAAAAGGCTACAAACTGTGAGTCCAACTACATGACCATTCTGTAAAAGACAAAACTCTGGAGACAGGAACAAGACCAGCGGTTGCCCGGGGCTGGGGAAAGGAAGAAGGGAGGGGTGCAGAGGGGGAGTACAGGGGATGCTGAGGGCGCAGAAATTGTCCCGTATGGTACTGTAACAGCGGATACACGACATCACGCATTTGGCAGAACCCATGGAACTGTGAGACACAAGGAGTGAGCCCTAATGTAAACCCCAAACTTTACTAAATAACAGGGTACCAATACTGGCTGGTCAGTGGTAACAAAGGGACCACATCAAGGCCCGATGTTAATAATAGGGGGCCGGTGGGGGAGGGGATGAGGAGGGACGTGGGCACCCTCTGTAGTTTCTGTGCAATTTTTCTGTAAACCCAAACCTTTGCTCTCAAAAAATAACTTAAAAAGAAAACTTAAGGGACGCCCGGGTGGCTCAGTCAGTGAAGCGTCTGCCTTCGGCTCAGGTCATGATCCCGGGGTCCTGGGATCGAGTCCTGCGTCAGGCTCCCCACTCAGTGGGGAATCTACTTCTCCCTCTCCCTCTGCCCCCGTCCCCTGCTCACGCTCTCTCTAATAAATAAATAAAATCTTAAAAAAAGAAAAGAAAACTTAAATATAAGAAAAAAAATTGTGTCTGTCGAGTTCCCACAGAAGAGACATAGGATATGCCCCTTCCATAAGGCAGCAGGCAACAGGCTGCCTCCCAGCATGGATGCAGGTGGCCGTGTACCGTGTGAAGGAGCCAGGGCAGACATCCGAGGGAGATGGCCCCAGGGTGGTGCAATGAGGGGCCCCGAGCACCCGCACGCAGGGGACCTGGGGGGGTGGGTTTGGGGTTGAGGCCTCAGAGCAAAGCGTGTGGGGGAGCATGGAGGGAGGGAAGGTGCACAGAGAAGCTCCCTCGCTGGCGTGGCTGGACCTCCCCCCACCATACCATCGGCCTCCTGAGGGAGCCCAGCCACACTAGAACAATCCAAACAGGAGGCCACAGGGCCCCAGCTGGACGCTGCTTACCACATAGTGAAGTGAGAACAAATCCAGAGCAAATACTTGCGATATTTTGAGCTTGAGGACGCCCATGTTTTATTCATGCACATTAGCATGGGGTCTGCAGGCCCCTGGAGTCTGAAGGAAATTAGAAAATCACAGAATGTCAGGGCTAGAAGCAGCCTGGGGGGTGATCTAATCCAGGCCTTCTTTTTGCAGAAGAGGAAATTAAGGCCCACAGAGGGAGGTGACCTGAGGTTACAAAGGCAGCTGGTGTGACCCGAGCTTCTTGCCCTCCTGGCCATGTGCCCTTCTGCCCTCCCTCCCTCCCTTCCATCTCTCAATCTCTCTCTCTCTCTCTCTCTCTCTCTCTCTCACACACACACACACACACACACACACACAGAGTTTTTCTCCCCACCTTAAGTTAGTATGAATTTTGAGTCCCTTGACAAAAATACCCCTGACCTAGGCCTGACCCCAACCCTAGTCCTGCCCTGGGCCCTCACAGCACCTGCCCTGCACCCAGTGATTTCCCTGCCAGTCAGGGTGGGTGCTGGGAGTATGACTGATGGGAGCAACCCTGGGTGGGACCTAAGACAGATGGCGTTTTACAGGTGGTTTAAGCAGGGCGCCTGGGTGGCTCAGTCGGTGAAGCCTTCAGCTCAGGTCAGGATCCCAGGGTCCTGGGATCAAGTCCCGCATTGCGCTCCTTGCTCAGCGGGAAGCCTGCTTCTCCCTCTCCCTCTGCCTGCCATTCCCCCTGCTTGTGCTCTCTCTGTCTCTCTGATAAATAAATTTTTAAAATCTTAAAAAAACAAACAAACAAACAAGTGGTTTAAGCATAAAGTACCCAGAGAGCCTTTCAGGGCATTTCCTATTTCCCCGGGCGAAGGCTTTGGGAGCCCAGTGGTATCAGTCAGTGACCAGGCTGAGACCTTCGAGGGAAAGATTTCATCTGCAAGGGTTGTATGGGCCGAATCATGTCTCTCTCAACCTGGATGTTGGAGCCCTAACCCCCAGTGTGACTGTATTTGGAGATGGGGCCTATAATTAAGGAAATTAAGGTTCAATGAGTTCACGAGGGTAGGGCCCTGCTATGGTGGGGCTGGTGTGCTTCTGAGAGGAGATCCCAGACGGCTGGCTACAGCTCTATCTCTGCCCTGTGAGCACACGGCAAGAAGGCAGCATGTACAAGCCAGGAGGAGGGCCCTGACCAGAATCCAACTGTGACCTTGGACTTCCAGCCTCCAGAACAGTGTTCGAAAATAAAGTCCTGTGAAGCCACCCAGTCCAAGCAGATAAGATCGAGGGGGACTGGGCCCCTGGATGTCCAGAGAGACTGCCCCATCCATGCCTTCCCCCGCGCCCTGGCAAGGAGGAGAGGGCCGGCCTCCAGGGCACATGGAAGAGCCCCGCCTCCTGCTGACACCGGGCCCCAGCACAATGAGCAGAACAGGCGGCCTGATCCATCTCCAGGCTCTGGGGTCCGAGGGCCAAGCGGGCAGGTGACAGAGGACAAGGGAGGGCTCAGGGTGGAAGACCAGCTTCTCCGTTCGGGGAGGGTGGCTCCAGTTCCAAGGCCCAGAACTGTAGCTCCAGGCAAGGTTTTCAGTTCCCTCCTGCTACACTGGGTGCAAGGCCTCTCTCTCTCCTGCCCTGGGGCATGGATGCTGGTGCCAATCTAGGCTCTGGCAGGAAGCAGGCTGTATTAGTCAGGCCTCCTCCCGAGAAACAGAACCAATAGGATGTGTATATATAGAGAGAGAAAAAAATGTATTACAAGGAATTGGCTCATGTGTTTACCGAGGCTGGTAAGTGCAAAATCTACAATGTGGGTCGGCGGGCAAGGGCCCCAGAAGAGCTGATGATGCAGTTCTGGTCTGAAGGCTGTCTGCTGCAGAACCAAAAACAGCTGATGGTGTAGATGAAGGCCAAAGTCCATCTGCTGGAGACTTCTCTCTTGTTTGGTAAAGGCTCATCTTGTTGGTCTACTCGGGCCTTCAACTGATTGGACACGGCCCGCCCGTGTTAGGGAGGACAATCTACTTCATTCAAAGTCCACCAATTTAACTGTTAGTCTCATCCAGAAATATGCTGACAGAAACACCCGAATATTTGACCTCATATCTGGGTACCCCATGGCCAGCCAAGTTGACACCTCTGATTAACCACCACACAGGCCTTGCTCCCACGGCTCTGAGACACACAGGCTTCTCCCTCCTCTCCCTGGAGGGCCCAGCTCTCCCAGCCAGGAGCCTAGGGAAGCCTCTCTTTCCTCTCTGCTTCTCTCCGGTGCCTCACCCCTGCACTGGCTTTCTAAAAGTTCCCTCAGGGCACAGGGAATTTCTTCAACTGCCTTAAGTTTCTCGAAGCAAACTCTCAGCCAAGATGCTCAAGAGGCCATGAGGTAGTGACGGGGACGGAAGGGGAAGGAGGGAAACTCTCGGGAAGACACACACACACACACACACACACACACACACTTCAGAACTCCCCCAAATGCTATGCAGCTACACTGGCAAATGTTACTTATTCAAATGCTCTCCCCCTCCATTGGCAGATGCTACTGTGGGATTGTTTCGAGTACTTTCTCATGAGTCTCTGGAGAGACAGGGTTATTTATCAGGGCTCAGGTGACCTGCTCTGCACCTGGCTGGCTGCCGGCCTCGAGCAAGAAATTCTCTAAGCTCCATTTCTTCATTGATAGCCTGGGGAGCACAGTTCCCACCCCTGAAGGCCAGGGTACAAGAGAAACCCACTCATTGCTCACCGATTTCCCAGGCACCCGCTCTGTGCCAGGCACCACATGGGGGTGCAGCAGCAACAGGGTCTACGTGGCCTGCTGTCCTGCAGGCAGTGGTCAAGGAGAGAAGACAGGTGGGTAATCCGGCCTAGGGGTGCCAAGTGGGGGTGGGGGGGCTGTGTGGGGCTCAGCAGGTACCAACAGGGTTCTGAGCGACTTGGGGCACATGTCTAAGACCAGCCAGTGAGGGCATGCTGGGAAAGCCTTTGCTGTGTGGCCGAGGCCTCAGCCAGGCCGTGTTCTGGGGGCGGAGGGCGGGGGGGGGGCAGACCCTGGGGTGGCTGGAGCCAGGGCCAGGGGCACCCGACAGCTGAGCCTGGGAAAGGTCAGCCTGGACGTGTGGCTATGGCTGAAGTGGACAAGGCCTCACATGGCAGGCCAAGCCTTGTGATTTTTTCTGGTGGCAGAGGACTTTCTGTGTGGCAGGAACACAGCCAGGCTGCCGGAAGCCCACTTTGAGGGTAGTCAGAAGGAGGGAGAGAATTCTAAGGGAGCAGCCAGACGGCTGAGTGCTTGCGCTCCGAGCGCCAGCCCTACCTCGGTCACACCTGTGGGAGCCACCAGCCGGCCCCTCGGGTGACACTTGGAGGGTGGGCTTCCCACCAGCTCCTCCCTGTAAGGCAAACAGCTCCAGCCACGCCCAGAGCGGCAGGGGCCAGCTGCCTTCTTCCACCACTCCATCTACTCCCACCGGAGCCTCATCTGCCATTGCCGCGGGCCCCGTCCGTCTAGGTGTCCCTGTCCGTGGGCCTGTCTCCTCTTATTGTGATTAAGGCACTGAGTTCCCTTGATTCACCCAGACACAAGTACAAGTAGTTCCGAGTTACACAGCATGGCGGGCCGCCCTGGTTCATGGATTCCCTGGCCTGGGCCTCTCCCGGCAGGCGATGATCCAAAAAGACAAGGGGTCTTCCTTTTATGAAGAATCATGTGGTCCCTTTTGAAACAGGGCAGCAAAAGCCACCCCCTAGGAGCCCCTCACCTCCCAACCCTGTGAGCAGACCCCAGAGTCTCCCTCTCATCTCTGTGGCAGCTCAGGATCCAAAGAATTTTTTAGAGCTGGAAGGGACGCGATACATGGACCTCAGACACGAAAGCACAGGCCCCATTTTTCTGATGAACAAGTTGAGGTCAAGAGAGGACGTGACGTGCCCGAGGTCACATATCTGGGGGAAAAGGCGGGCCTCCCCCAGGTATAGCCTTCCTGCTCCCTGCAGAGCCCTGGCCTCCTCCTGCCAGCCAGACTCCTGGCCTTTGGGTAGATGGGCTTTGGAAAACAGCAGGGCGGGGAGCGGCATGGGATTAAGATCTAGCAACTGAAGGGGCGCCTGGGTGGCTCAGTCAGTGAAGCGTCTGCCTTCGGCTCAGGTCATGATCCTGGGGTCCTGGGATCGAGCCCCGCATCGGGCTCCCTGCCTAGCAGGGAGTCTGCTTCTCCCTCTGCCCTTCCCCCTGCTCATGCTCTAATAAAAAAATAAAATCTTAAAAAAAAATTATAGTACTGACCTTGTATGGTGCCTTCATGCCATGGCACCCAAACAGTAGGGAGAGTGCTCGAGGTGGGCTCCCACATGCCAACAGAGGAGCCTCGCAGACACGCGGTTGAGCTAAGAGCCCCAGCAAGACGGCAGGATGACGGGGAGATACAACGTTGACTATGCCCGTCACAGAGGGTTACGGAGCGGCACGCGGCTGTGTCCTACAAATATAAAGATGCATAGAAATGACGGACATGAAATTCCCTTTGGTGGTCACCTCTGGAGTAGAGGCAGGAGATGCTCGCAGGAGGGTAGGGACACGGGGCTTGCTCTGTATCGGCAGTGTTTGATCTCATTCGGTGCAAGAAACACGAATCAATGTATTGCGTTAAAAAAAAAAAAGGCGGGGGTTTTACTGAGGTAAAATTCTTATCACATAGAAGTCACCATCTGAACCACGTTAAAGTGTGTCATTCACATTTTTTAAAATGTAAGCTCTACGCCCAATGTGGGGCCCGAACTCACGAGCCCCAAGATCAAGAGCCGCACGCTCTACTGACTGAGCCCGCCGGGCGCCCCGGATCATTCACAGGTAAAGAGTACAATTCTATCAGTTTTCCAAAGTGGTTGCACCATTTTTGTGCCACCCGCAGACGTCGTATGAGACCGTCCGCCCTCTTCCTCTGTCCTCCTGCCCCTGGCTTGTTCATCTTTCAGATTTCAGCTGACACACATGTCCCCCCGGGGAAGCCCTTTCCTGTACCCCCAAAGCCAGGACGGGGCCTCCGCCAAAGGCTCAGAGACCTTGCGCTGTCACCATGCCCGTCACCGTTCAGAGCTACTGGTTTAGCATCTTTGTCGGCTAGGCACGCCACTCTGGGCACTTGAGGGCAGGGGCTGCGTCTTCCTTTAGTGGTAGAGGTACGAGCCTACAGTTGGGCCCCCATCACTGAACAAGTATTTCTTGAGTACCAACTCTGTGCCAGACACTGGGCATCTGGGCACATGCAGCAGTGAACAAAACAGGACTCCCTGCCCACCTAACGCTGCCATGTATATTTGTTGAATAAAATGATTGTTGAATGAATGAATGAATGAATTCAGACTGATGGAAAACCCCACAGAAAAACATCTCAGCCTCCTGGCTCCCTATTCCCCTCCCCACTAGGGGCGCTTGGAAGCAGAGGGAAGTGAAAACGTAAAAGCAAGCACCTGCTCTTGAGAAAATGCAGGCAAAGGATGCCTGGGTGGCTCAGTCGGTTAAGCATCTGCCTTTGGCTTGGATCATGATCCCAAGGTCCTGGGATCGAGTCCCGTGTCGGGCTCCCTGCTGCTCCCCCTGCTTGATGTGTGCGTGCTCTCTCTCAAGTAAGTAAAATATTTTTTATAAAAAATAGAAAATGCAGGTAAGGGGGCCAAGGGTGGTGGTGGGGGGAGGGGTCTGGGAGGTTCCATGCACCACCCAAGGGACCCTAGTGCAAGCAGCTCCTCTTGATTAATTTTGCTGGGGAATCTGCCGAGATGGTAGGGGAAAATTCCTGCTCTCTCTGAGGCCCATGCCGCAGCTCAGCTTCTCCACAATCATCAACCTACCTCATCCCTCCGGTGCAGACAGAGTGTAATGAAAACAATGGATGCACAAGCAAAGTTCATGCCTAATTCAGCATGGGGGGGCAGCGAGAAAGCTGGGATTTCTCCCCCAGGCCCCTCACTTTCCGCCCCTCTCCATTCTCATCTCACCCCCCTGGGCAGTGGATCTCAGGGTGTGGTCCAAGTGCAGCAGCACGGGCAGCACCTGGCAGCTTGTTAGAAATGCAAATTCTCGGGGCGCCTGGGAGCTCAGGTGGTTAGGCGTCTGGCTTTTGGTTTCTGCTCCCGTCATAATCTCAGGGTCACGGGATCGAGCCCCATGTTGGGCTCTGCGCTCAGCGGGGAGTCTGTTTGAGATGCTCTCTCTCCCTCTGCCCCTCCCCACCCCACCCTCTCTCTCCCTCAAATAAATAAAATAAAATAAAATAAAAAAGAAAGAAATGCAAATTCTCAGGCCCCATCCCAGAGCTAGGGAATCAGGTGCTCTGGGGGTGGGGCTGGCTGGCTGTGTTTAACAAGCCCTCCAGGGGGTTCTGATACCAGCTAGCCGGCTGCACAAGGGCTGCACGAGGAATCATCTGGGGAGCTTCAAAAGCTGCTGATGGCTGGCATCCCCCACCCTTAGGGAATCTGAAGTAATTGGTCTGGGAAGACGCCAGGCGATTCTAACATGCACCCACAGGGCACGCCTGAGATCCGCTCCCCTGGTTCTGTGATGGGGCAGAGAAAAAGAACTGCTCACCTACCTACAAGGGGTTTGTTTCTGCACTGACCTGACCTAGCAGGGTGTTTCCGGCACTTGAGTGCATCGGAATCCCCTAGAGGCTTGTTAAAGCGGCTGCCTGCGTTTCTGATTTAGCAGGTCTAGGGTACACGGAGAATTTGCATTTCTAACCAGTTCCCAGGTAATGCTGCCGGTCTGAAGACCTGAGAACCACTGCCCTAGATAATCCTTAGAACAGCCCTCCGGGGTCAGGAGCATTACCCTCATTTGCCAAATAGGGAAAGTGAGGCACGCGACAGCCAAGTGACTCACCCAAGGTCACGTAGTCCGTTGTGGAGCTGGATGTGAAACCAGTCTGTCAGCCCCGGAGCTCACGGTCCTTCCTGGGTGACCTGTGTTCAGCATGGGACCAGGATTTGTTCTGAGGAAAATCCTGAGCTCTTTCCCCCCGCCAACACCTTCCTCCCAGTCCCCCTCTTTGGAGCCAGCAAGAGGGTGGCAGCTTCGGATGCCTTTCTTTGTGCTGACAAAGACTCCCATCCAAGTACTAACCAGGCCCAAATAACTAGGCCTCAACCTTGGGCTCTGTCCTTGGCCCAGTGGCTCTACCCGCTTAATCCAGTTTCAGCAAGAAGCCTGGTGAGTCAGTCTAGCCCAAATCCCCCACCCTTGCTATCTGATCAAATTTCTCACCCCCCACCCTCACTACGCCAACACCCTGGTCCCCTTCAGCAAAAATCCCATCAAGTTGGTTTAGCCAGGATCCCCTTTACCCTGGGCATTTCCTCTTGGTCATTCCAGTGACTCCTGCCCTACTCCTTGGCCATAAATCTCCACCTGTCCAGTTGTATTTGAAAGCAAAGTGGTCTCTCTCCCCCAGTGCAAAGCCCCACGGCAGTGGTCCCTATACACATCAGGAAGGTCCTGAATGAAGTCCGCCGCCATCTTTAACAAGTGCCACCATTTTCTCTTTAACAAGTGCTCACCTTCCTCCAAGGTCTCTCCCCCAGCTGCTCGGTGCCTTCTGCTGGCCAAAGTTAGCGGACCTCTCAGGATGGAACTTACGGCATTAATGTCAGAACCCGAGATCCCTCAGACAGCCACTCATTTCAAGTTTACCGGACATCTGCAGAGCACATCCCATGCTGGGTGTTGGGGACTAAATTGATGGAAGACTTTCAGCACTGCTTTTTTTTTTTTTTTTTTTAACCGAGGAGACTGGGAGACAAATGCTTTAGGAGACCGGGGAACACAAGCTGGGGATTCGGTCTGGGCTGTTCATTGCTGCCTAGAGCGGAACCAGGCCCATAGGTGCTCAACAAGTATTTGACAAATGAATGAATGAATGAATGAATGAATGAATTGGTGAACCTGCCTGAGAGATTGCCCTTTTCTTTCTCCCCCCATGTTAGCCGAGCCCAGAATGTTCTAGCCTGTTGATGTGAATGATGTGTCTGTTTGGGGGTGATGGTCGACTATGGGCACTCAGAGGGCATTTATCCAGAAGTGCCCATTCCAAACCTTCACTGCAGCCTCTGCTCTCCCACTGCCCCAGTGCTGGGCTCCCAGAAGGGGCTTGAGAAGTACTCAGGAGTCCCCAAGGAGACAGTGGAAGTCAAACAAATACCACGCACGAGATGAGCAAAGCCACTGAAGGAGAAAGGCGGGGGGAAGCTAGAAGAGCGGCCGATGGGTGAGCCGCAGCTGGGGAGACCAAACCGTCTTGGCAGTCCCCAGAGTGTCCTGAGTTTAGCACTGGAAGTCCAGAGGCCCAGAAAACCCTGGGTCCCGGGCAACCCTGGACTCGGGTTACCCTAGCGGCTGGGGAAGGGAGAGGGTGGGGTCTGGGCTTCACAGGAAAGGAGGCCTGGGGAAACCCGAGAGAAAGAATAAAAGTGCTAAATTCTACAATTACTTGTTTACACGCCTGAGGTCAGGGGCTGGATCTGGTTCAACTCCAGATGGCCCACCAGGGGAGGTGGCCTGTTTAAGGTTTCAGATTCTGCAATCCGCAGGCCAAGGTTTCCATCTTCTTCTGAGCCTCCATTTTTCTCAGTTGTAAATGGACCCAATGACATTACTTTCTTGCGGCGCCTGGAGGACTCAGTGGGTTAAGCGTCTGACTCTTGATCTCGGCCCAGGTCTTGAGCTCAGGGTCCTGAGTTCAGGCCCCGTGCTGGGCTCCCCGCTGGGCATGGAGCCTACTTAAAACACAAACAAAAAAACCCACAGTACTTTCCTCTCAGGTAAAACAAGAGAAATGTAAACTGCTGGGCATATAGGAAATAAAGTGTTAGCATTTTTGCCTGGCCAAGACTGCGTGCTCGGTAAATATGTGACCCTTGATGGCCCCCTGACGAAGAGAGTGGGGTAGAAGACTCGGGCGGGGGGTGGGCGTGCGGTGATCTTTGTCTCCGGCCCCCAGCCCCCTCTCAGCCCCTGCTCGGGGAGGGGCAAAGAACACAGGTCTTCCCCTGACCTTTATTGATGGCGCTAAGAGTATCAGGAGAAGCAGGTGTTAATCCAAGAGGGAGTCAGGTCCATGGATGGAGAGATGAACCTTCCGCCAGCCTGGCTTCTCCCTTCTCTGCCCTCCCCCACCCCAATGCTCTTGTCCCTAGCTTCCATCCTCAGTCACAGCCCTGCTCCACCAGCTCCGGCTCCTACTCTGGCCCACACGCAGGTGGAGAAAAGCCCCCAAGCACGCTGACCGGGCCCACTTGAAGTTAATGACTGAGAACTTCCTCCGCACCGTCAACACTGCCCACTCTTCATCCCGTATTTGCCCAGTCCATTTGCCTTTCCACTTTCCTAGGGGACAATCTCCGACCTCCCGTGATGTCTTCATACCTCCAACATCTCCTCCATCCTCACTCAAGGCTGATGGCCTCGCCTCCTGGCTCACCCAGCCGGCTGAAGAGGACTTCTGCAGCCTCCACCACCCCAGCTACCCGGCCACTGGGGACACACTGTCCCCTGCTCCCACCTCAAGCCAACACCATGCCCTGTCGTCCACACAACGAGGGGGCTCTCTCTCTCCTGTGGCGCTAATCATTCCCTCACAACTACATCGGTCTCACTAGCATACAAACCTTTCTGGTTTCTTCCATCTTAAAGAACTTTCCCGTGAGCTGGCCTCCTCTTGCAGCTACGGCCCCATGTCTCTGCTTCCCGCAGGAGCAAAATATTCAAAAGAGTTGTCTATCTGCACTGCCTTTTTCTCTTCTCGCTTCTCTCTTTCTTTTTCCTTGTGGAATGTAAAGCACCTAGAAGAGTGCCTAAGACAGTAATGCCCTCATATGACTGAGCAATTCAATCCTCGGATACAGACCCAAAGGTATTAAAAGCAAGAACTCAATTAGAGGGGCGTGTGGGTGGCTCAGTCGGTGGAGCATCTGACTGTCATGTTCGGCTCAGGTCATCGTCTCAGGATCCTGCGATCAAGCCCCGTGTCAGGCTCTGCGCTCAGCACGGAGTCGGCTGCTCTCCCTCTCCCTCTGCCCTCCCCCCAGCTCGCACACGCTCGCTCTCTCTCAAATAAATAAATCTTAAAAAAAAAAGAGAGAACTCGAATACAGCATGCCAACATTGTCCAACCGTGTTCACAGCATTATTGCAATAGCTCAAAGGTGGAAACAACCCAAGAGTCCATCGATGGATGAATGGATAAACAAAGTGAGGCATACCTACACCATGGGATATTAGTCAGCCATACAAAGGAAGGAAATTCTGACACATGCTACAACATGGATGAATCTTGAAAACACTGTGCTAAGTGAAATAAAGCAGACATAGCAGAACAGATATCGTGTGATTCTAATTCCATGACATATCTAAAACGGGCCATTGCATAGTGACAGAAGGTAAAACACAGGTCACCAGGGGCTGGGGGGAGGGAGGAGGGGAGTGCTTGATGGTTACCAAGTTTCTGTTTGGGGTGATGCGAAAGTTTTTTGATGACTTTAGGTGTGGTGATGACTTTTTTTTTAAGATTTTATTTATTTATTTATTTGTGCGCACGCACGCGCGCGCACAAGAGAGAGACAGAGCGAAAGAGAGAGAGTACAAGTAAGATGGAGAGGCAGAGACAAAGAATCTCAAGCAGACTCCGAGCTGGGCACAGAGCCTGATGCGGGGCTCGATCTCATGACCCTGAGACCATGACCTGAGCCCAAACCAGAAGACAGACACTTAACCGAATGAGCCACCCAGGCGACCCTGTGGTGATGACTTTGTAGATACAATACAAAAGGCAGAATCCATAAAAGAAATAATTGATTAAGTTGGAGTTCATGCCAATTAAAAACTTCTGGTCTGGAAAAGACAATGTAAGGGGTGGGCAGACAAGCCACAGAATGGGAGAAAATGTTTGCAGAAGACTGTTATCAAAAATATACAAAGAACTCTCTAAACTCCACAATAAAAAAACAAAACAACTAGATTGAAAACATGGGCCAAAGATCTTTTTTTTTTTTTTTAAGATTTTATTTATTTGAGAGAAAGAATGAGAGAGAGAGAGAGAGCACATGAGAGGGGAGAAGGTCAGAGGGAGAAGCAGACTCCCTGCCGAGCAGGGAGCCCGATGCGGGACTCGATCCGGGGACTCCAGGATCATGACCTGAGCCGAAGGCAGTGGCTTAACCAACTGAGCCACCCAGGCGCCCTGGGCCAAAGATCTTAACAGACACCCCACCAAAGAAGATAAACAGATGGGATTAAGTATATGAAAAGATGCTTTACATCATATGTCATCAGGGAAAGGCAAGCAAAAGAATAATGAGATACCACTATGTACCTGTTAGAATGGCCCAAACCTGTAACGCTGACAACATCAAATGCTGGCGAGGATGTGGAGCAACAGCAACTCCTATTTATTGCAGCTAGAAATGCAAAATGGTACAGCCTCTTAGGCACAAAGTTTGGCAGTTTCTTTTATAACCCTGAACATATTCTTGGGGCATCTGGGGGGCTCAGTTGGCTAAACGTCCAACTCCTGGGGGTGGGGGGATGGGTCAGCCCGGTGATGGGTATTAAGGAGGGCACATACTGCACGGAGCACTGGGTGTTATATGCAAACAATGAATCGTGGAACACTACATCAAAAACTAATGATGTACTGTATGGTGACTAACATAACATAATAAAATTAAATTAAAACAAAAAACGTCCAACTCTTGATTTCGCTCAGGTCATGATCTCAGGGTTGTGGGATCAAGTCCCACATCAGGGTCCATGCCAAGCGTGGGATTCTCTCTCTCCTCTCCCTCTGCCCCTCGACTAACCGCCCCCTGCCGCTCACACACATGCTCTCTCTCTCTCAAAAAAACAATTCAGAAAAAAACAAGCACTAAACATACTCTTAAGCCAGGAAACCTGGCCAGTTACAACCTTTTTATAGTCGTCGTCTTAGGCACTACCCACGTGAAATACTGGGCATAGTTGCAATGACTGAGCAGTGATTGCTTCCATCCTCACAACTTTTTCTCTTAATTTTAATTAAAAAAAACTATTTATATATTTTGAGAGAAAGAGAGAGCACACACAAGTGGGGAGAGAGAGGGAGTGGGGGTGGGAGGGTCAGAGGGAGAGGGAGAGAGAATCTTAAGCAGGCTCCGTGCCCAGC